TTCCCCGGGTTTAAGGGATTTTTTCCTGTGGGGGAGGAAAAGGGTGGTTGGTTTAGGGAAAGGGGAGTAGATTTTTAATGAGGCAAACAAAACCATTAGGCCCCACCCGGGGGGGGGGGGGGGGGTGCGGAGGACGAGCAAGTGTGCATATGGGCGACCTGACTATGGAGGCCGAGTGAATATCCAGGCCCTCGACGCGCGCGGGCAGCTATTTTTCTTAGCAACAGCGAACCCCACTGATGCTCGCAAGCCGCAGGCCTTGCTAGTAAGCAAACGTCAAGTATCCCTGTCGTGCGAACGACACCACCACGAGCTGCAGCGGGCGGCGATTGTATAGGTACATGCTTTCAGGCTTTGGCTTGACAAGGCCATGCTCGGCTGCCCAAGCCGACGCACAGCGTGCCGGCGCTCCAGACGACTGGGCTCAGCGCGCTATTCACCGTCATGCCTCGATGTTGCAACAACCCCACTGTCCCCGTAATGCCCCCGTCTAGAGAGCCTCGTCGCGGCCTGGTACGCGACGCCCTCGACTACCGAATGCGACACTCATGCGGTCCACGACGGGAGATGTACCTGAACCTCAGCGCCGTCGAGCCCGCACGAGCCCGCCACGGCTAGCTGCAGAACCTTCCCTGCCCCCAAGCCAGCATCAGCATCAGCATGCCTGCACCTGTGCCAGCCAGCCAGCAGCCAGCAGCCTCGATATCGGCCTACTACGGTACCCTTGACCACACTCCCCCCCCCCCGACCGACGGCGGCTGCAGTCGGCTGGCTGCTCGTACAACCTGCAACCAAAAGGCCTGATGTAGAAATAAACCTAACCAACCGTGGTGCCGTCGTGCAGCCATACAGCTTGCACGCGAATGAACCCAGAGCCACTCTCTTGGCCTGTCCGGACTTTGATCCGCCAAACCGAGCCAAGCCAAGCTGCCACCTGGGCGCGTCTCCAGAGGCCTCGAATGGCCCTCATATCGACCCAGACACCCAGAAGCTTTTCCACGCCTGCAACTGCCCATTGCGCCCACAAATGCTGCCCGCTGCCCCGTCCCCGACTTCACTCGCCGGTACTGAAACACTTTGTCGACTACTATCCAAGCCTGACCGCTGCAGGCAGCATGGCATCTGTGTGTCCTCCCTGCTGCGTAAGAAGAACCCACCTTGTGAGACCCGTTACTAGCCTGCTCCCTAAACACATTGCGTGCGAACCCCAGGATCCTGTCCCCACTTCCTTCCACTGGCCATGGATGGCTGTACCTAGTCTACACCGCTGAGTTTCTCGGAATCAAACCACCAAACCTGACCTGACGCCTGCCGATTGATGATGCTTTTTTCCCGACGCCGTCCTTCCGAGTAACAGCGATTCGGTCTTTGCCGGCTTTTGGGTCCCCAATTACGACGGACGAATGCTTTCAGGCATAGATCTTCCCACATCTGTTTGGTTGCGCATCCAACCCAAGCTTCTTCAAAATCTCTGCACGGCTATAGCAAACGCGTTATGACAGCCACATCAGATGCCGCTACTCCACAAATGGTCACAATCAACCGTCCGAGCCTGGCTCTTGCATGCCAGTCTGCCTATCACCATGTCTGCTTCTGCATGGAACTTTCCTTGCGCCTGATTTGCCCCTCGGTCAGACTGATCTGCTCGACACCGCCTTGTTCATCGCGGTGAACTGAACGTCTTCGTGGCATAGTCCGACTTTGCTTCTGTGCAATAGTCTAATCGAGCATTCGAATAGCTTCTTCTTGATCTTCTTCTTCTTCTTCTTCTTCTTCTTCTTCTTCTTCTTCTTCTTTGCGACCGATGCTACCTTGGGCGAATATCGTTTACTCTTGGTCTGGTATAGTGGCATCTTCCCTGCACGCAAGATTGCGGCACCTACTGATCACCTACTATGGACAGAGTACCTACCGCATTCTGCACTGCCCGGTCTTTGCTGCTCTGAAATGCGGGTAGATGGCGTATTGATAAGGCGACGCTCGAGTCTCCCAGATATCAGGGTTACACCACCATGAGCTTAGGGACCATGCGGTCCCCCAATTCAATAAGGGGATTACCACGTTCCCAAACTATGCGAACGTCTGTACATGCACAGTCAACCAGGGCACGACACGCGCCGTTTGATGTCTCTACCCGATCATGACACAGTGATACGCAATACGGCAGCGACATTCTTGCACCTGGACGTGTTCGTCACACCATGGAAGCACCCGAAGCGCTGGTCCAGCATACGCTGCTTGCCCCTCAATTAACATGATCACTTGCAGATGCGGACGCGGTTTGGCGTTCAGCGTACCTTGATGCAATATGCAAGTCATCCACCGATCGTGCCGTGTGCATCATCTGCTACGTTTGAGCCAGAGTGTGCAAGGTGTAGACGAGCCGTCTTCAATAGGGAACACTGTGCCGCCCCGAATCGACGGACGGGGGCATGGCAGAATGACACCCAGTACAACACAAAGGTCTAGATGTCGTGAACCTTCCGACATACTCGTATCGGTAAGCCGTCAAGGCTTCGGCATGGTGCCATGGCTTTGTCTACCGATCAGTTGTAGGCGCAACGTGATGGGACACTGAGATGGCTACACTCACACCACCTGGAAAACTACCCCACTGCTCCCTGTGCCTATCAGTCAAAACATGTTGTGAAGCGTGCCAATCGTTGAACGACATTGATTGAGGTTCCAGACAGTTGACAGGCCGCTACAACGTGCCGCACATGCGTGGCACTTCTCTGTCAGCCTCTGCTATGCACATAAACGTCAGATCACATGTTTGATGAATGGTAATGGCAACGAGCTGGTGGCCTGTGTACTGTATAATGATGCTGCCATGACTTTGACTGGGTCCTGAGGCATGAATGGAGATTAGTCCTTCCCTAATCAGACTCTCGCTATACCCACGATAGAACCTCTTGAGAGTGGCAACCATGAAAACTTCATCTTGAAAGAGACGGAGATCGACGCTCTAACCAGAGAAACCGTTATGCAAAT